TGTTTTGTAACCGTGTAATATGTAAGGTGTCTGATAATAACTGGATCATCTTTATCATGAATAAATACTGCAGCGAACTGAATGAAAGTTCCATACATAATTTTGCAATTTTGACAAAATAGTTAACAAGAAATTAATAAGATCGCAAACACACAGCGAGATATGATCGTCCAACAAAGGGAGATGTTTTTTTCGCCATTCATGGGTTGTCATTGCCAGCAATGTCGGCATTGCTGCTTGTAGTAAACACAACTTCCCTCCTCTCCCCTCCCCTCCTCCCTCCAGCGCCCAAGCAACAACGTGGCTGGCCGCTGTACGGTCGTATTTTACCGCGCAACTGCACTTTGTGTCTAGTAGTAGATGAATTCGATATTTAAAGATTAATTTCTCATAACTATTGCAAAAATTGCGAAGTGCAAGACTCTTCGTTTCAAGACTGACATTATCAGTTTAATTCGCTGTACCTATTCACAAAAGATGATTCAGGCATTACCGGACACTCTATATACGTATATGTATATAAATATATAATAAAATTAAAACTATACAGAATTACATATATATTACACTTTTTTTTCTTTTGTTTGCATGTGAACAAAAGTTACACTGTTCTATTATGTAGCTCCCATTGTTAAACTATATATTGTTTCACACCGACGCAATACAGACACTGCTTTGTTGCTTTTGTCACGTTTTAAGGATTTATCGACTGCCGCGATTATTTCCGGACCGAAGAGTTTACAGATAAACCATCGCCGCCATTCAAGGACGCGCCTATTCCCGGCATCAATATTCGCTCACCGCCATATGGCAAATTCAAATAGGTTGTAAGAATCGTGGGCAATTGCCAGCGATATATATCGACGGCATGTCCAACTTAGCAGCCTATACTTGACACGCAGCATCCAGATCACAGAGTAGAACTGTCTTTTCGATCGTTCCTCGGAATCCTGCTGCGAAGTATATCTCTCGCGAGAACTCGGTCGCACAATTCCGGCTGCGTCATCGCTTTTATCACGTTCGTCGACGCGTCCTCTGCACGCAGACGAACATTAATTCCACTCACTTACCTCTTCCTCGAAAGACGCCAGAGTAACTGGTAACGCCGTACACACGAGGAAAAATGTAACGCGAGTAAACGCGAGATGTGACTTGAGAGCCCGATGAGAGTACAGCTACGTGCTACGTATGTCGTATACCAAGTACAGACGCTTAATGTCGGCAACGATCTATATATAGCATGCGCATACGCTCGGCGTCATAAAATGTCTTCCACATCAAGTTACACCAATTTTGGGCGTATATACACTAAGCATGCGCATCGTACCTTGTATCTAGATATTGACCGGTGTCGTGACTGTGATTATATTTAAAAAAAAACAACGTTATCGTAAAGCACTGTTCCAACGTGACAGCTTCACGTTTGATACATTGCAATTAAGGTACGTGATCCCAATAAGTGATCCTAAAGTCAAGGCAAATTACCGACATTTTGCCATTTTTTAATATCTTTCAATCGAAATTATAAAAATGCAAAATTCTTGTACACGATTAAAGTACGTAAAAAAATAGTCAGTGCAAACGTTGGCTTTTTACTGAAAACGAAAAAAAGTTAAAAATATCACTTATTTTGGCACGTACAACTACTGTCATCTGACGGCAATATTTGCTTAATACACAATTCTACAATTTATATGTACAAAATGAGGATAGTCCTACCGAAGAGACAACATGCACGGACAGTATCGTGCGATTGAAACTAAAATTCAAAGTCTAGAAAAAAAGCGATTGATTAAAATTATGTTTTATATCAATATGCGGTTATATATACAGGGTGAATGTTAATAGATGTCCCAATCTTTTACCATGGGAAGTAAGTTATCGACTGAGCTGTGATTATCTAAACAGTGTATAGTCGATAACTCACTTCCCATGGTAAAAAATTGGGTCATCCATTAAGGGGATGTTGGAGTGTCCTGTTTTACCATCAATTTTTAAAGACTCTTTTCTCTTAATTGTGTTTATGGATTGAAAAGTCCTTCTCCACAATTAAAGTATCGACAACAACACAGGCTGCCAGCTACAATGTAATACGAAAAATGAAAGAAAATTAAAAATTGTAGTTTTGTCACCGACTCCTGCAGTCAACTCGTCACAATATGTGCTGCATATAAGAGTTTCAGATTTTACCCGTTTAAAATAAGTAGCCAACAGCCTACAGAAAACCTTAAACAACAATCCTATGCTTTTAGAAACGATGTAGGGGCTTTGGTACAAGAGAAAAGAGTCGCCAAAAATTTCGTTCGTATACTACGAATAAAATTGACGTAGCCATGAAACCGTGCAGTATTTTAGTTGATCTCTTTCTAAGAGATGGCGTTGCAATACGTCAGATAAGGACGGATGAATGCGTTTGAGCGAGGCACAACGATATAGATAAGTATAAGAAATGAATGAAAGATGTCACTATTATCGAATTTGGAATGTAAAAAAGTCTGTACTATCGACTTTGATTAACTTCGACCGTCACTCCAGCATCCCCTTAACATTCACCATGTAGATAAAAGTTACGTTTCTCTATCGTTGATAAATTATCGACTGTCGATAAATTATTCGACATTGATAATGGGTATTTTCCATTTGATGACACAAATCGACACAAGTATCGTTCTATCTTTGTCACTCTCTGAATGTCAACAAAGATAGAACATGTGTCGACTTGTGTCATCAAGGCCGTGGTCCGAATCATGCTGACAACGTTCATGAGCATTGTTTGTCTTCGTTTAACATTTGACAAACAACAAGGATGAAATGATTTTTAAGCGTTGTGAGCGTGTATCGGACCGCGGCCCAAATGGAAAGCACCCAATAATTGTTGTATAATATTTTTATTTAATGAAAGTTGAACCAGAGAGAAATCTGAGAGAGGATTTGACGGACCAAAACCTGTAACCGCAAAATCCTGCCGCGCACTACTGCCCCCTGACAAAGTGGATGTAAACTACATAGTAAGATCTACTTTTCTGAGGGTACATACATTCACTTTTCAAGTAGGCTATAGATGACAAATCGATATTTGGTAATTCGTATAATCGTGCTACATTCACAAACTGTGGATCAGAAATATCTATCTCTGCAATTTTACATGCACGTAATTTATTTCGTTTAAAAAATATTAACATTAAAATTATATTACACTTTTTTTTTACAAATGTGCTAATATTTATATTTCAAATAATTTAATAAACTATACATATACATATTAAAATTGTGTTTCAAGCATTTTATTTTTATTAAACACATTTTTATAATTTATTTACTTTATTTATTATTATTTTCTTATTACCATACTAAAATTTAAAAAGCATATAATGACAAAATTAAGTTAAACTTTTTTTGTATAAGTACTTTGTAAAGTATTTAAAATGCAATTATAAGTGTATGTATGTATGTATTTATTTACTTCAGCGTTTACATTGGCCAAGAAGGGACATTGGTTTACATTGAAAGTTTATCCACATACTCATTCCTCCATACTGCTTGGTTTACATTGAAAGTTTATCCACACTCATTCCTCCATACTGCTAAATCCTACTTCTAATAATATAATATATAATACATTATAATCTTAACCTATCCTTTTAACATGTTCTCTTTCCTTAATTCTTATTTATTTGTATGTACATATTTCCTCACAGCCTGACCGCATCTTATTCGATGGCTTATCCCTAGCTCTATATATAAATAAAATTATTATAAATAAAATTATTATCACCTTGTTCTGAGGCTTATATTACGTTCATCTATCTGCATTGTCTATTCTATTGTCTACAATCCCTACTTCTATTACTATTCTTTGTCTTTTGTTTTACTATATATCCTTTCCTCCTCTTTTTTCTTCTCAATTTCTTTTTTCCTTTCTCTATCCAGTTTACTCAATACTTTACATTTCTCTGCATCTAAATCTTCACTCCACAGTTGCTTCCATATTTTCTCTTTATTCTCACCTAATTCTTTAAACCAACTACTTGTCCTTTGACATTCTTCAACATAGTGTTCCATACGATCCGCCTCTCTTCCACAAAATACACATCCTTTCATTTCTTTTTCTATCCAATACTTGTTCCCTTCCTCCATGTTACCGCATCTAAGTCTAACTAGTCCTCGCACGCCTTCACCTATTCCCAGCCTACCTAGATTTTCCTTCCTTAAATAATTGGGCCCTCTACTCCCTGTATCAAATTCCTTATACCTTTTATTATACCTCGCAGACCTTAATCTACATTCTTCCCATTGCCTTTGTCCGTCCCTCTCCCTGATCCTAATTATTTCCTTCTCGAACCTCCCCTCGTTTCCCCCTTCTTTCAATTCTTTAGCATTTACCCCATCCGTTCCTATTATAAAACCTTTCTCTTTCTATGCCATATAAATTTTTCCATTCATCTTCCTCCTTTTCCTTCCAGCAGCTTCGGAGCAAGCCGTCTTCCTTCCTTGTTAATATTCTTTTCTCATATCTCATTGCTCTTATTCCCCATCCTATCCTTAACTTGTCCATCGCTAATTCCCTCATTATCATGTATCTTGGAGTGCAAAACTCCATATTGAATATCCACCTCGTGTAATCTAATGGCGAATTCGATTGGAAGAACTAGTGCGCACTGGTGCATATTAAAGCTGTTGTACACTGATTTAATTTGAGTATAAAAAGTGAAATGCAAATATTTCGATATAATAGTACAATAAAATGTATTGAGTATTTCAGGATTTAATCGATTTCTATGTTTATGTATAAACATATCTTTACGTTATTTTGTGTACGACGGTTTTAATGTGCACCAGTGCGCACTGAGTGCGCCCAATCGAATTCGCTATAACATTATTCTCTCTAAGCTTCCTCCCACCTCCATATCTCAACACCATAATCCATGACACTTTGTATCAAGTATTTAAACATCATCGTAAATAAGAAGGATTAGGGGGATAGAAGAGGAAATATATTTTGGCAATAAAATTAACATGAGCAAATAATACGTCAAAAATAGTGATATTGTTATAATAGACCCTTCATACCATCGTCGGATATTTCACATTGTCGGATATTTCTACATTTTATGGACATGCATATCTCCACAGGACGTCCTGAGGATATTCTTAGGGCATCATCTTCAGGACATCCTCAGGACGTCCTTTGAACATCTTCGGGACGTCATGGGAATAGCCTCAGGACATTCTTGAGACAGCTTCAGGACATCGTGGGGATAGCTCCAGGATGTCCTTGTGGGACTTTCTTAGGATGTCCTTGTGGGACAGTCTCAGAACGTCTTTCGGAAAAGACTTCCGTAAAAATTTTTTATATATAAATAATGTATTATATATGTATGTTACAATAAACTATATACAACTTAATATTTACATTAATAATTGAAAGAATCAGTTTTAAATATTTCAATGGAATGTCCTTTTCTTTGATACTAACGTGATCATGTGCTAACAACAAAATATATTAAGTACATTTATATATACATTAATTAAGTTAATTTTATTATCTAAAAATTAAAAGAGTGTAGTGCAAGAAATTTAGAGGAAATGGGTATAACAGAGAAGCTATCAACGTCGAGGCTGTGTGGCTCAATGGCAGGACGGGAGTCTATCAACTCAGAGGAGAAACCAGGCCTCGGTTCAAGACTCGGAGCGCCCTGATATTTTTCTCGTGTTGTTGCTTATTTCTTACAGTAATTTGACCACGTTTACAATTGACCACCTATTCACAACGCTTGAACAGTAGAAAATACTTTCCAGGCATCAGTTTCTGTGAGTGGATGTGATCATTTTATTTTACTTTTAATACATCCTGAAATAGTCCTGAAATCGTCCAGAAAGTCCTAACATAGTCCTGAATATATCCTAAATTAATCCCCGATAATATCACAATGGATGTCCAGCGGATGTATGTGGGACATAATGAGGCGCTCATGTCATAGTCCATAGGACGTTCTTGGACTACAATAGGACATCCTGTGGACGTCCCGTTTAGCCGGCAGGACGTCCACCGGATGTCCATAGGACGTCCCTGTGTTATTAGGGAAAAATTATAATTATAAAAGAATAAAAAACAATTACTTACTTTTTAATTGTACGCTGTCGCTTGTACACTCAATCCAATCTGACTCCTATATTTATCCACGTTAAACCATAGACATATAAGATAGACCCAGCATCTATAGTACATGTTGGGGTTTGGCAGAACGGTGCGAGAGGCAAGATATCGGGGCAACCTGTCCTTCTCT